GTGAATACTGGTGAAATTGATGGGATTAAATACGTATCAAAACAAGATCTTTAGCAATTCGAAATAGGTAAAAGAAAATCAAAAAGGAAATTTTGAAAGAAATTCAATAAAAATAGTAGATTTTATGAATTTTGGTCAAAAATAGGCATTTCAGAATGAAAATAAGTAAACTTAGATCTGACCTATCTATGTATAACTCGGGTCCTATAAAAGTTAATGAGAAACTCAGGTGAAAACTAGCGCCTACACTTTTATTTGAGGTGGTTTTGCATTACAACTACCATGTTGTCAGCACCGATCTTAAAATGTCAAATTTTTTTTGTCCGGGATTTTAGTGATACACACGCCTATAATCAATCACCGTAAATTCTCGAAATAGCGGGCACGGGCTCATTTCGAAAATTTTGCCTCCCTAAAAATAGCATTTTTCGAAATAATGTGCACTTCAATATTATGTATTTTGAAAAACAAATCAAGCTCAAAAAATAGGGATGTTAAAGAGTCCAACAGTTAAATATAAAATATAGATAATTTTGAAAGCGGAATGCTAAAAATATTCATAATTCATCTTTATTAAATTTTATCTGGACTAGTTTCTGATCGGCCCTAAAAAGGTCGGTCCCAGATCCGGTCCGAACCAGTTCTTTGTGGACTACTTAACATCCCTATTCAGAAAATCTGCCTATACTGTACGTATATTCGAAATAACGCCCATGGACGAACTCGAAATAGCGCGCAGGCATTCGAAATAGCGCGCAGGCATTCAAAATAGCGCGCAGGTATTCAAAATAGCACGCAGATCCCGCTATTTGATTTAAAAAATGTTTTTTTTAAAGTTTATTTCTAATTATTCATGATATTATCTAATAATCACTATATTGTGAAAGCTGGTTTGTTTGTATACAATACTATATGCACGGAAAATACTTAACACACTAAGCATGAAAGCAAATAATTGGCATCTATCTTTTGGAACGAAGGATCCAAAAATTTATGCTGTACTAAAAATTGTACACAATAAAAAAAAACTGGTTCCCATGTGATCTTGCGCGACTTTCACGAGATGACATCATACCTATGCGAGATAAACTATTTTCGATTAAGAAATTTTTAGCATATTTTCTAAATGAACTCTTATCACATGAGACTCGCAAACTTGGCGATAAAGGCTCGAGTGAGATATGTATGCTAGATTGGTCTCACAAGGTACATATCTAGTTTAGATTCACTTTATTTAAATCAGATGGACGGATTAAAGTATGGCAAAGAGTAGGAAAAGCCTATAATACAAATTGTATTAGGCCAACTGTTAAATTTGGAAGAAGGTCTGTAATGTTTTGGTGCTGTTTTAGTTGGTGTGGAGTTGGTCCGTTATATGGTTGATAAAACGGTGAATTCAAACGTTTATGTTAATATCCTCGCAGAATATTTAGTGTCATAGATGTCATAGATGCGTAATAATTTAATATTTCAACAAGACTTGATCTCGTCGTAAATCAGATTATACACTTTGGTGGATGAAAACGTACAATATTCCGGTTTTGGATTGGGTCTCACAAAGCTCTGAATTGAATCCCTATAAAAACATTTTGTCGGCAATATTCTAAAAATTTTGTTATTCTTTGTCCAAAAAATGGTCGGAATGATGTCTATTTTCCGTACACTGATTTATACCTAATGTTGTATAACCAACAATTTCTTTTTTTATATCACGGTATAAAAATTGTACAATATTGTACTTGCATTGGACAATGTCTACAATAAATCTACAAACTTTTTTATAGGGAGCCCGATTGAACATTTGTGGGGTCTTGATCGTCAAATTCAAAAAAGACAACTATTTTCTAGCTCACATAATGATTTGATTTGCGCAGGATGCTGTTATTATAATAATAAGAAGTTGAAGGCGCATGATGAATGGTTAGTTATTCTTAGCGATGATTAATTTTTTTCCTTTATGTCATACAAAATGAAATTACCGGAATGATCTTTTATTTATTAATAAAACATATGAATAAAGAGAATTTATACATCATGCAAAAGTTTTATTTTAAATACCCTTTTTTTTTTATCCAATTAAAATTAATTAATTAACCATAATTGGATAAAAAAAAGCAAGTTATTGTTTAAATTAAAAACTTTATAAGGAAAGTTTGATATTATGGCGCAGAAAGTATTGTGGTGTACTTATAGACGGTCATTAAAATAGTAGATATTCAAAATTTTTTTTAAAAATTTTATTGTAAATTTCCTCGTTTGGGTAATATCCGGAAAGATAAATGCAATACACAATACGCAAAAAAAACAAAACATATCAGTGTTTTCATATAGCATTTAAAGTTCTAAATATTAAAGATTGATTATTATTAGAATAAAGACACTTCTTTTTTTAAACCTTTTTATTAGTGGCAACCTTAAGTGCGAAAAAAGATCATATGGTAATTTTTACGGTTGTTGCTCAATTCCCGAACGGTGGATCATTTAATAGTTATACATATATTTAGAATTTTACGAATTTGGACTATTGTGAATGGTAGATCAGTTATTAGTTGTATCCATTTTTAATTTTATGCATACTTACGTCAATATGCATAATATTTGTTTTTTTTCGAATCGAACTTTCTTATCAGGCAGAAGAATGATTAAGACTGTAGTGAAAGATTAAACGAAAGAATTCTGCAAAGAATGTTATCATGAACTAATAAACTGCTAACCGTTTATGCTTGTATGGAAATGAACAGATTAAAATTTGAAGTATTTACGTATAACGATAAATAAATAAATTGTCCGAAGCGTAGCGGAGGACTTACAATGGAGAAGTAAATACACAAAATGTCTTGGGTTCCGCTCACGTGATATTGGAACCACCCTAGCGTCACCCAAAAAATCAGTTACGTACCGGAATTTAAAATTGAATATCAGCACCCAAATAACGATTGATCGAAACTAATAACATATCGAAGCAAAATTTTTTTTTGTATTGAAGAAGCATATCAATTGTATTTTATTTAATAATTCTTGCCGTGTTTTTTTTTTATATAAAAGAAGCATATCAATTGTATTTTTATTTAACTCTTGCTGTATTGCCATAATTTTTTTTTTTCTAACGTTACATTAAACTTCGAATAATTATATAATTCAATTAAAAATCAAATTTCGAAAAAGATGTTAAACTACTGCCAATAAAAAGTATTTGAATTGCGCCCATTCCATGTTTTTCTTGAAGTTTTTGCAGCTTCAAACCCTTCCAAGTCATTCACCATTTTTTTAATGGGGTCTACATTTTTTTCAATCGCGTTTAACCATTTTTTTCTTTGGGGAAGGGTTTCCGATTTTTCAATAAACTTTATCGCCTATAAATTAATTT